AGCCCTGGCTCCTCTCTCCTTCCTCATCAACAACCAGCAACTCTTTGCAGACCAGCATCTTGTTGTGCAGCCTTGTCTTCCAGGTGTCGCTCCACTCTCTCGTTCCACCCCTGTAGATGCTGCTGGGCACCAGAGCTGGGACTTCCTGCTAGGTTTCGAGAGAAGCTGCCGGATTGTGAGATCGCTGCATAGGCTGTACCCTGTTTTATGACCACGCAGTTTTGCCATCCCCTGGGATAAAGGAGGGGTGTGTGATATCAAAGGATGCCACCAGCTTGGCATTGTGTTTCTGGCTGAGAGGCTCAGTGGGACTGCCCCACCAAGGGAGAGGTGTGGGAGAGCACAAGGTCTGCACACAGAACAACCTACATTCAATCCCTGGATTCTTCATTTAGGGGATCCTAGGTAGCATGTGAGCCAGTTTGATGTAGTGGTTAAGAGCAGCAGACTCTAATCTGGGAGAACCGGGTTTGATTCCCCACTCCTCCACATGCAGCTGCTGGTGTGACCTTGGGTCAGTCACAAGTTATCTCAGAGCTGTTCTCTCAAGGACAGTTCTGGAAAGAGCTCTCTCAGCCTCACCTACCTCACGGGTTGTCTGTTGTGGAGAGGGGAAGGGAAAGGAGTTTGTAAGCCACTCCGAGACTCCGAGTGAAGGGCGTGGTATAAATCCTATCTCTCCCTTCTTCTCCCTCCCTCTTCCTCCCCCCCCATTCTTCTTTCTTCTTATGTTGGGAAAGACCTTTCTCTACCCGAGGTTTGAGTGAGCCACTTCCATTCAGAGTAGATGGCACTGAGCTAGATGGAGGGATAGCCCGACTGGGTGTAATGCAGTTTTATTTGGGATTACAAAAGTATTGACTTGCTGTGCAATAAGAGAGTCACTAGGATGGTTTTTGAGTACTTTGTTTTCCAGCATTGTTTGCTTTTACTTGATGGTTGTCTGGGTGTGTTGATGAGGTGTGAACTTATGAATTTACATTGGTTTTCTTGTGTGGTTTCTCATTCCCAGGTCAGGTGTGCAAACTCTGCCCCACAATGCCAAGGTGCACTATAACTATGCCAACTTTTTGAAAGACCAAGGTCGTGACAGTGAAGCCATCTACCACTACAAAACAGCACTCAAGTAAGTTCCTGGAAGTCTTCCCAACACCTGCTTCTTTGATCCATATAAGTGACTTCAAAAAGGATGTGGACAGAACAGAGTGGGTGCAGAGGAGAGCGATGAAGATGATCAGGGGGCTGGAGGCCAAGCGCTATGAGGAAAGGCTGAGGGATTTGGGAAGGTTCAGTGTGGAGAAGAGGAGGCTGAGGGGGGACAGGATTGCTCTCTTTCAGTATTTGAAGAGCTGTCACTTACAGGAGGGCAGGGGGCTGTTCCTGTTGGTGGCAGAGGATAGTACTCGCAAGAATGGGTTTCAATGAAGGGTGGGAAGGTACCAGCTGGATATTAGGAAAAACGTTTTCCAGTAAGAGTTGTTCAATGGTGGAATCAGCTACCTAGGGAGGTGGTGAGCTCCCCCTGACTGGCAGTCTTTAAGCAGCGGCTGGACACACACGTGTCAAGGGATGCTCTAGGCTAGTCCTGCATTGAGCAGGGGGTTGGACTAGATGGTCAGTACGGCCCCTTCCAGTTTTGTGATTCTGTGACTAGGAAGAAGTTGTAGAACGGGGTCCCCAACATTTTTGAGCCTGTGGACTCCTCTTGAATCCTGACATACATAATGGGTGCTGCCACAAAATGGCTGCTGGAGGACATGGAGCTCGGCATAAAATGGCTGCCACAGTTCGCTTTCAGACACAGTGAAGATTCTTGTCGGGTGGTGGCAGCTGCTGCCAGAGCAACATTTTTAAACATCTGCAGTGGCTAGTCGGAAGTCTTGCTGGGCAAATTGACCTACCAGACCCTGCCCTCTTTCTAAGAACACTTGGCAGGCACCCAGAAAGGTGTTGTTGGGGGTCATGCCACACACACCATGCTGGGGGACACCTGTTGTAGGAAATGAGTAGGAAGATGTCACAGAAAGGGTTTTCTTGTGTTTCTTGGTGAATTCTTCCCATTTTACTATATGCAAAATGGAACTGATAATATTTGCTCAGCACTCCACCTAGGGGCCATGAAGAGTCTGTTGACAGAAGTAATGCTGCAGTGTGCTTCGTAAAATTATCTGCTATTCTCTAGTAAAATGGGCTGTGCCTTTTGAGTGGTAGAAGTGTGGCCAGAGGTCAGCTTGGAGGTCAGACCCAGGGCATTGCTGCCTCCACCCATGAGTGCCTTTATATCCGGGCATTAGGGACAAATGAGAACGTGTTAGTGAAGCGGTTGGGCTGTTTCGTTTGAATCCTCAGGTTCTGTGAACCTCACTGATTCCCCAGTCTCATATTTTGTAAAGAAAGGTCTCGATTAAGGAAAATAAGATGTACGTTCAGAAACACATTGGAGGGAAAGAAACTCTAAGCAGTCCTAGTGTTGTGAAAAACCAGGCTGTTTTCTGTGAACCCAAGACACAAAATCCAAGAGGGCTCCTGTCCTCATTTCATCAATTGGTCTATCAGAACATCTTGCTCTTTGCTATTGACAAGTTCTATCGTTAAATACTGGATTTCCATAGCAACATAAAATAGGAGTCCAGTGGGTGCTTTAAAGAGTAACTAAACATTCCAGCATCGGCTTCCGTGTGTCAGATTCCATGCATCTGATTCAGAAAACCTGGAACTGGAATAAATTCTGTTAGTTTTCAAGGTTACACCGGATTCCTGTTTTAATTTACTGCTACAGGCTAACACAGGCTACCTGCCCAGAATGATGGATCTCTGTAGTCACTTTTAGACTTAAATATTTGAATCAGGCACACATAGCGACAAAAAGGTATAAAATGGGATGAAATCTGAGGCTAGGGGCTGCCTTTTCTGACCGCCTCGTTCGGCCTCAGACTAGACATAAGAACATAAGAACATAAGAGAAGCCAATGTTGGATCAGGCCAAAAGCCCATCCAGTCCAACACTCTGTCACACAGTGGCCAAAAATACCAGGTGCCATCAGGAGGTCCACCAGTGGGGCCAGGACATTAGAAGCCCTCCCACTGTTGACCCCCCCAAGCACCAAGAAGACAGAGCATCCCTTGCCCCAGAGTCCCTATCTATACCTTGTGGCCGTCCATGCTTGTAGCCGCCACCACCTCCTGTGGCAGTGAATTCCATGTATTCATCACTCTTGGGGTGAAGAAGTACTTCCTTTTATCCGTTCTAACCCGACCGCTCAGCAATTTCATGGAGTGCCCACGAGTTCTTGTATTGTGAGAAAGGGAGAAAAGTGCCTCTTTCGACCAAGAGATCTCTTTTATTTTATGATGACATGTGTACATTGTTTTGAATGCTCTGAGCCAAGTTTCTTTTTTTGGTTGTTGTTTAAGTGAGAGACTTTTGAATAAAGTAGAACGTAGTGCAAGCCTTTGTCTTTGCCTCTTGCTCACCGGGACTGGGACCCCCACTGGCCCATATCCAGCCCAGGGAACCAAAGCTGGAGCCTGGGTCCCTGGTACAATGCAGGGACTCCGATTTGCCCATCCAGAACATGTTTCTGCAACAAAGAAGAGTAACTTGCCTTGGACAGGGTGCCCTGGGGAAACAGCAGTAAGTGCCTGCTCCCTTGAAAGGCTTATCTGCATCAGTACAAAAGATCGACAGGAGTTTATATTTGCATAGACAACAGGCTGGCGTGGATTAACGTTTTCTCATACAAAATTAATCTATTGGTAAATTAGTTCTCAGGCAGGAGACAGCAACACCTCTGCAGGCTTTCTGGCAGCCTCCCATGGCTGCTTTTCATTTTTTTAAAAAATAAATAAATCGGGAGACTGTTGCAGTGTCTTCCATGTGACACATAATTTGGCCCTGAGCCAAAAGTCTTTAAGGTTGCAGGAAAAGCGCTTTTCATAGTAAAAGGCTATGAAAAAAAATGACGTAGCCAGATATTTCCTTTTCACTACCAGATGGTTTTAAGTTTTTAATGTGGAGCCAAGACATATCAAATTGCTTTACCTACTAGGTTTAGAAAACAACACCTTTTTTGGGTTATTTTTCTAAATCATGAAGGCAGTCCATGTATAAGAATGAGCCAAGGCAGAATTTTCGTAAAGGAACCGATCCTGTCTCTGATCAGTTTCTATTAAGGCAATAGCCTGAGTGCTTGATATGGAAACCCTGGATACAGATGCCAGGGCAAACCTTCCCCACACCCACAAACTGGGATGAAATTGAAGGTTACGCTCTTATTTTGAAGTGTGTGTGTGTGGGGAGGGAATCACCTTTTACTCAGATTGAGACATCATGCTCGGGTGGCCAGGTCTGGGTTCGGAAATACCTGGAGATCTTGGGGGTGGAGCTTGAGGAGGGTGGGGTTTGGGGCGGGGAGGGGTTTCTGCGGGGTAAAATGCTATAAAGTGCACCTTCCAAAGTGGAACTGATCTCTTATTGTCTGGAGACTAGTTGTAATTCTGGGAGATCTCCAGTTACTACCTGCAAGTTGGCAACCCTGGGGCTACGTCCGAGTATGATTCAAAGCTTTCTAGACCTAGAAACCTTTGGTCACTCCTTGTGCACAAGGACAGGAAGGAGGGGGAGTAGCAAGCAAAAAGCATTTATACCATTCATGGGCAAACCACAATGTCAGATCAGCGTCAATAATATGTAACTAACATGCAATTACTGTTGCTCTGTTCTGTTGCGGTGGATATGAGCTGTCTGAATGGAGGGTTTCATGGCAGCTTTCTGGAAGCAGCGGCTCTGTATCCTCCTCTTCTCTCTGCCATAGCAACACATAATCCCAAATCTGTGACTTTGCTGTGCTCTGAGTTTGCTGACCTCAAACCACTTCATTTGTTGCTGCTTGCAGGATAGAGAAGCTCAGTAACATTATATCACTTGTGCTGAAGTATTAGTTGCTATGGGGGGGGGGGGGGGTAGGGAACAGTCAGGGTTGATTTCTTTGAGGATTGACTGATTTGTTCTTCTTGCAGTCCAAGGGACTCTCAAGAGTCTTCTCCAGCACCATAGTTCAAAAGAATCTATTCTTCGGCGCTCGGCCTTCCTTATAGTCCAGCTCTCGCAGCCATACATGACTACTGGGAATACCATTGCTTTGACCATGCGGACTTTTGTTGGCAGGGTGATGTCTCTACTTTTTATCATGCTGTTTAGGTTCGCCATCGCTTTCCTCCCAAGGAGCAGGCGTCTTTTAATTTCATGGCTGCAGTCACAGTCTGCGGTGATCTGGGATCCCAGGAACGTGAAGTCTGTCACTACTTCCACGACTTCCCCTTCTATTTGCCAAGGAGTGATGGGGCCGGATGCCATGATCTTAGTTTTTTTGATGTTGAGCTTCAAGCCCACTTTTGCGCTCTCCTCTTTTACTCTGAGCAAGAGGCTCTTTAGATCCTTTTCACTTTCAGCCATTAGAGTGGTATCATCTGCATATCTGAGGTTGTTGATCTTTTCCCCAGCAATCTTAATTCCCGCTTGTGATTCATCCAGGCCAGCATTTCGCATGATGTACTCTGCATATATATTAAATAAGCAAGGTGACAGTATACATCCTTGTCGTACTCCTTTTCCTATGCTGAACCAATCAGTTGTTCCGTATCCGGTTCTAACTGTCGCTTCTTGGCCCTTATACAGGTTTCTCAAGAGACATGTGAGGTGGTCTGGTACTCCCATCTCTTTAAGGACCTGCCATAGTTTGTTGTGATCCACACAGTCAAAGGCTTTAGCATAGTCAATGAAGCAGAAGTAGATGTTTTTCTGGTACTCTCTTGCTTTCTCCATAATCCAGCGAATGTTGGCAATATGATCTCTCGTTCCTCTACCTCTTCGAAACCCAGCTTGTACTTCTGGCAGTTCTCTATCCATGTACTGTTGAAGCCTAGCTTGTAGGATCTTGAGCATGACCTTGCTAGCGTGTGATATGAGTGCAATTGTGCGATAGTTTGAACATTCCTTGGCATTGCCCTTCTTTGGGATTGGAATGTATACTGATCTTTTCCAATCCTGTGGCCACTGTTGTGTTTTCCAAATTTGCTGGCAAATTGCGTGCAGCACTTTAACAGCATCATCTTCTAAGACTTTGA